TGGCAGGCTTTCATGGCCTCTGCTGTGTGTTGGCAGGCAGACTCGTGGTGAGGAGCAGGAGAGGATGGAGTGGCGCAGGAGCAGGCTGCTGAGTGGAGGGCGCCGTCCGAGGGCCCTGGCTCCCTTGTCCTACTGAGCAGTGTTGGTCTCTAGGGCTAGAAGCCAAGTGCAGGCTGGAAACGGTGCCATCAGAGGTGAGCCCAATTAGCACCCAGCCAGGTTATTGCATGAGAGAGAAGAGTCCTGCTCCAAGCCTTGGGTGGGGCCGGGAGGTGCCTTGGAGAATCCAGCCAGAGCCGAGAGGGCCTGCTGACCTCTGTGTGGAGGAGAGAGGCCTGAGGGCCTCCTAAAAGGTTTAAATATGCAGGCCTCCCCAGTTGGTGAAGTAGGGTCTGAGAGAACCCTGGCATCAGCGGACCCGGGGTGCTTCCGTTTCCTGTTGACAGCACTGGGGAGTGCTGGCACCAGCATCACACACACCCCTTTTGTGTTGTGGTTAAACATTTCTCAGAGCGAACTCAGTTTCTACATCTCTACTGAAAATCTCAGCCTTCTCATGCTGCCGGCTCACCTGGTCCCATGAAGAGTGGACTTTCCCCATTACTGTTGCACAGGAAGCAAGAACAGCGCACTTCAGCCACAGCCGGTCTTGTTTCCTCTGCTGGTTTGGGGGCTGTTGCCCTTTGATGCTTTGGTGGCCTTGTCCTGCTCAATAGCACAGACAGGCCAGATGCATTTGTCCTTTCCGTTGCTACTCCCCAGGCAGAGAGCTCCTTGTGGCCTGGCAGGGCTCGGCCCTTCTCTCTCCACCCAGGTTGTCCCTGGAGGGCAGCCCTCAGTCCCATGCAGGAGAGGCAGACATTGCTGCCCACAGACATGCCTCTGGCTCAACTGTGTCCACCCTCCCTGGCCCCTACCCCCAAGTTACAGATGACTCATCAGTGACCTTGTGTGCCAGGCCAGGTCCAAATTGAGAAGGAAGGTGTCCTTTTGACACTGCTAATGACAAGAATGGCTCTTGGTAGCTAGGCAAGTGCAGATGGGGGCCTCGGAGGGGCAGAGATGTTCCCAAGTCCTTGCCTGTGGTTTCTGCCTGGGCCTTGGCGGCTGCTATGCAAAAGCTGCATGTGAGCCTGTGACTGAGCTGGAGTGTCCTGGGCCGCACCTGCCCTGGGGTCCCCAAGGGAGCAGGACGCTCCAAGGCCCGGCACGTTGCCCTGGGCCTGTAGCTGGAGTCGGAGTCCTCTCTCTTGGCTTTTGGAAAGGCTTGCCTGTGTTGGAGAGTCTCTCTTGGCCCTTTCAGGAATTTCTGTTCAGGCTTACTCCTCCTTATCAGAATGTCCTGTGTCTGCATGTATAAGAGTGGCTTCCTAATGCTCATAATTGCACACGCAGGCACAGAAAAGACGGCTCTCAGGGTGTCTGGTTATAGGGAAACAAGCAGAGCTGGGATGAGGCTTTGATTGGCGCACTTGGCTGGGCTGCTTGGGGAGACTCTTCTGTGCGTTCTTCCTCTGCATAGAACCACCACCTCCTGGGCGTCAGTGAAGCTCTAGCTTAACCTCCAAAGCTCAGAACTAGGGGCTCAGAGCCAGAGCTGGCACCTGACCACTGAAATGATGGCCGCTGCCTGAGCTAGTGACAGCCAAGCCCTTTTTGTGGGTCACCTTTCTCCTCAGTCAGCCCCTCTCTCTTACCTTTTTAAAGGCCCGTGTGTTTTCTTCCCTTACCCTGTGCTTGTTCATATCAACTCCAGTTTTATCTAGCACATTCTTAGAGCCATCATCTGGCACGCAGGTGCCTTATATTCTACAGTGGAACGTGGGGGATCGTCTGTGCTTATGTGGAATTACAGTGGTGGGTTTATCCAAGGTGAGGAAGATGGCACCTGCTACTTAATAGACCTGGGCCATGCGTCTCCTCACATGTGGGAAATAGGTGGAACGTCAGGACCAAACCCTGCGCAGCTTCTCCGCACAGAGCGAAGGGAGGCTGTGGTTGCTGCCAGCCTAGGTGCTCCAGGTGCCTTGCCTTTCTCTGGGGACAGACTGGGGGCTGGCTTCTGTGGGATTCTTTTCTCCCCTCTGTTTGGCCCCAGCTAGAGCAAAGAGCCTCTCCACTCTAGTGAATGGCTCTGCACCATGGCTACCATGTGGAACCTTAACTTGTGGAAGGCTTGTTAACAATTCGTTTTGAGATGGCTGGTTATGCCACAGCTGCTGGGGACTCCACCTACTCCAGCCTTCTTGGGACATACTGTGGAATTTGTGGCCCTTGCCCAGAGGAATTGTGGAGACTGTCCCATGGCACAGACCCCCAGGCACCAGCAGAGGGCTCTAAGTGACTCAAAACATTTGTCTCTGACAAGATTAGCTGTAGGCCTGCCACCCAGAGAAAACCACTGTGAGCATTTTGGCCTATATCCTGCCCCACCATTTGTTCACTTTTTAAAACTATATTGGGGACATTTGACACACACCGTTTGCATTGTCTTCTCACTTGATTTTATTTTAAGCATTTTCCCATGTCATGAGTTTCTCAGAGAAATGTTTTTAACAATTGTAGGGTTTAGTCATTGTCCATTTTACTGTAATTTATCTGACCATTTCCCTACTCTAAAATATTTAGATGGTTTCTGATTTTTCCATTATTTAAATAATGCTGTGATTAATATCTTAAAATCTTTTGATTTTTTTTTTACTGACTTTGTTTGCCCCTTAGATGCCTACCTAGAAGTGGTATTTTGAGGTCAAAGAGTTTGTTCATTTTAAAGATACTTCTCTCTCAAACTGATGTCTAGATGCTCAGAGTTCCAGTAGCAGAATCACCTTAGTTGTGTCCTGCAGATTCTGAACAGATCAGTTTCTGATAAGCCGTGTGTTCCAAAGAATGTTTGAACAAGACCGCTCTTTTTTAAATGCTAAGATGATGTCATTACTGCAGTCCATTTGTGGCAGATTTCTTCCAGGAGCCGGTTTCCTCTCTTGCATTTCGAGATCCTGGCTCCGCCCGCATGTTAGCTCTCCTCCATCCGTGCTGCTGTGGCTTTCGAGTGCTTGGTGATATTTTCAGAATCTTGTACTTTGTGTCCACAATGGTACTGAATTTGCATCTGCACAGTCAGCAGAGATAACAAGTGTTGAACTGACCTTGCCACATGCTTAGTGAGCGATTTGTAATTAAGTTTACAGACTCAGAAAGTACATTAGGCCATTTGGAATCGGTAGCAGAGCAAAGCCTCTACTTGGAAAAAACCATGTAGCTGATTGGGTTTACCAGAGTGTATTTGTCTCCCCCCGCCCCACATTGGAAGGTCTCAGTGGTTCAGAAGAGCCCAGCAGCCAGGCTGGCTTTTTCACTGCAGGGCGTGGTTGTCCCAGCTGGTGTCGATTTCAGGCCTTCTCCGCCCCACTCCCTGCCCACATGTTGCAGATTGCCTAGCTGGCGTCAAGTCCAGACCACCCAAATTTGGTTGCAGATTTTAATTTCTCCACTTCATTTGTGGTCCATTGATTCTGAAGGGGAACATGCAGCAGGTTTTTCTAGGCGCCATGTTCAGTGCTGCTTCATTCTACCAGAGATTATGGCCAAATTGCACACAATTGGGTTTCTTGCCCTCCTCTGAAGCCCTGAGGACCCCTCGCCTGGCTGGTCCACAGACCCGGGGTGCTCACTCCTGAGACTTCAGAGATCGCAGCTGCTTTGAGAATACGGTGAAGGTACTATGTTCTGGAAGTTGTCATACACTTTTCCCCAGTTACTTTCAAACCTGACTTGAACCTCTGTTGACTCACTGGGTGGGGTCCCTTCTTAGGCAGCACATGTGGGAGGGGCCCCTACTTCTGGCCCAAGATTGCAGGGTTGTAGACGAGGCTGCCTGTGGAGAACCGGTCTGAGGAGGAAGCTCTTTCCAACAAAGAGCACTTTTATCTGTTGAGATTGCTGTGGTGAGCAACTGAACGAGCCTACGTGTGTACCTGAATTTTCCCCATAACTCATTTCTTCAATATGAAGAAACACCAAACTATGTACAGAGAACTTTTTACAAAAGGCAGACCTTTTTTTTAGCTGTGTAACCCACGTAGCCTAACCATCTGGCAGAATGACTATGAATAGAGGTCATTTTGCTGGTAAAAGCCTGTATTACGACTATAAGTTGGACATGGGCAAAATTAAATTGTTACAGTATTTAGAGCTGCTGTAGCCATTCCTTAACAACATAAATAGGGTAAATGAATAGGTCTTTCAGGTGGGTGGCAGTCGGTTAGAACATGCGTAATATTCTCTACCTGGTCTGTAGCTGTAACTGTGATGTACAGGCAAAGCAAAAATGAAGAGAACTTATGAAAACAAATAATGCAACGATATTAGGATATACACTTTTGTATTTTTATTCTTATATAAGGTTATTTGCTGGCTATTGTTGGCCTCTAGTTCAGTCTGTGTTATTTAAATTCTAATATATGAATTATTTGGATTGAATTCATGTTCGGGGCCACGTTGTTGTATGTATTGATGTACAGCCTTGAATGTGAATAATTATTGTAAACTATATTTTACAACTTTTTTTCTGGCTTTATTATACAAATTTTCTATTTGGTCAATGATTTAATCATATAATTTAATGAATCTGTTTATTCTTTTTTTTTTCCCCAAATATTTGTGCATTAGGTGTAGTTACCAGATGATGAATTTTCCTCGTATGCTCGGTAGTCTTGTAATAAAAAGCATGTAGAGTGTAGACGTTTGCTGGCGTGACTCTTCCTTTAACCAGGGTACGGACTGGGGTCGGGGTCTGGGTCAGGCGCCCGCGCAACCTTGGTGTGGGGGCTCGAGGCCGGTCTTCGCCACCGCCCGCCAGCGTTGGCGCTCCGGCCACGCCGCGTTTCGCTCCCGCCGGAAGCGGGCACAGCCGGCCACTTTTCCGGACCGGAACTTCCGCCTGCCGCGTGACGCCGGGGCGGGCACTTTACGAGGGCGGACCTGTGGGCGGGACACAACTCGGAGGACGGTATTAAAAGCCGGACGCTTCCGGTGCAGGGGAGCTGTGGCGGGGCTTGCTGGGATCATGGCGGAGAATCATTGCGAGCTCCTGCCGCCGGCTCGGGGCGGCCTCGGGGCGGGGCTGGGGGGCGGCCTGTGCCGCCGCTGCAGCGCGGGGCTAGGCGCCCTGGCCCAGCGACCCGGCAGCGTGTCCAAGTGGGTCCGGCTCAACGTCGGCGGCACCTACTTCCTCACCACTCGGCAGACGCTGTGTCGGGACCCGAAATCCTTCCTGTACCGCTTGTGCCAGGCCGACCCCGACTTGGACTCGGACAAGGTGAGGGCCGCGCGGGCTAGCCGGGAGGGTCCGGGCCGTCCCGGCCTGCGGCCGCCCCACACGTCCTGCTCAGCACGGAGGAGACCTCAGCGGGAGCGGGCGACTCTCCTCTCAAGGTAGCTTTGAGCCCCGCGCTACCTTGTCGCCAGCTCGTTTCCAGCTTCCCCCGACCCCCTACCCTGGGAGGGGAGGGCGAGGATGACGCCCTGGCGTGCACTGCCTTCGAGGATCCTGAGTCGCTTCACCTTGGGGTGTCTCGTTCTCGCCCTCTGTGCTCTTTGGTGGAGGAGGCTCCCAGACCCCGGACTTTGCTGTGATTCTACTTTCTTTTTCTCACTAGGTTCTTTTGCCCAGGGTGTGTGAACGCCTTCTCTTCTCCGTCCCAGGGTACTTGCTGGCTCTGGAAGCAGAACCCTTGCGTTGGTTTGCCCTTTCACATTCTGGACGTTTGAATTAACGCTGGCGTGGGGGTTGACATGGGCGGCTCTTTTTTTCCCAGTGACTTGCATTTAGAGAGTTGGCGCTCCATCCTTTCCATCCACAGCACGCAGCACCCACTCAGCACCTCTTAGAAGATGCGTCCGTAGTATATAGTATGATTTTCGAAGGGAATGTTGCTCATATTAAGGGTTGCTTTAGGGATGTCCGTGAAGGGCCAGGTAGGGAATCTTTCAATTTGCTTTCTAATTGGCTTAGTTTTCCCTCTGTCCTCGCAAAATGACAGGAATTTCCAGGTTGGTTTGCAGCTTGTTTTTCATCAAGCGAAATGCTCCTGCCGTTGTGCAGATGATAATACCGTTTTAATACCTTTATTTATCAAGAGTTGTGGAGCTGAGGGTATCTTGGGGGTTGTGCAGGATTGAAACTAAGAAAAAAGCTTGTTTGAAGAAGTTGTTACCTATATTTATTCAAGGCAGTTCACAAGCCTTACACTAATTTTGCTGGGTCCTTCAGTTGAGCTTATATGATTGCACTTGGCTTTGTGCCTCGGCAGCCAACATTTACCATGCAAGAGGCTTCCCAGAAAGGTTCGGATCCCTCTTCAACTTTGAGAAGCCTGACCGAGAACGTTGTCAGCATGGTATGACCATGATCAGGAAATGAGAACTCTGGAATCACTGTTAAGCCAGCCTTGTGGGAAGAAATGAGGGTTTGAGATGCCAACTCTCCTGTCTCACCCCACAACTTCCAACTGTTTCCATGGCTCATTTGCGCAAGCCCTCTACTCAGAGAATTGACCTCCCAGGAAATGACAGTCATCTCCAGGGTAGAAATAGGCTTTTGTTAGCTGTGATTTTCCTTTTCTAAGTGTGGGTGTATGTTTTACTGTTTGATTTTTCTTTTTTCTTTTTTTTCTTTTTTGAGATGAAGTTTCGCTCTTGTTGCCCAGGCTGGAGTGCAGTGGCATGATAACAGCTCACCGCAACCTCCGCCTCCGGGGTTCAAGCAGTTCTCCTGCCTAGTCTCCCGAGTAGCTGGGATTACAGGCATGTGCCACCATGACCACCTAATTTTGTGTTTTTAGTAGAAGAAACAGGGTTTTCTTCTTGTCGATCAGGCTGGTCTCGGACTCCCGACCTCAGGTGATTCGACTGCCTCGGCCTCCCAAAGCACTGGGATTCTAGGTGTGAGCCACCAAGCCCAGCCCTGGTTTTTTTGTTTTGTTTTGTTTTCAAATAGCAAGGCTTAGTGGTCACTCCCTTGGCTTTCTATTCAAGCATTCCTGTTTTGTATGTTAGCTTAATTTTCAATTGCTCTTGTCTACTGGGGTCATTGAGGCAATGGCAGGCTGGAGCACTTGATTCAGAGCTGATTAACTTTAGCACAGTTAAGGTGGTTCATCCCTGTATTTTACTGCCTTTTTTTTTGTTGTTTTGATACGGAGTTTCATTCTTGTTACCCAGGCTGGAGTGCAATGGCGCGATCTCGGCTCACAGCAACCTCCGCCTCCTGGGTTCAGGCAATTCTCCTGCCTCAGCCTCCTGAGTAGCTGGGATTATAGGCACGTGTCACCATGCCCAGCTGATTTTTTTGTATTTTTAGTAGAGATGGGATTTCACCATGTTGACCAGGATGGTCTCGATCTCTTGACCTCGTGATCCACCCGTCTCGGCCTCCCAAAGTGCTGGGATTACAGGCTTGAGCCATTGCGCCCGGCCTATTTTACTGCTTCTTCAGACTTGCTTAAAAATTATGTTTTACTGTAGGAATCAATTCCTTGGGGAGTGCAGTTAATCTTTCCGAATATGTCTGTATTGTATTTGCTCTTTTAATTGTCATCCCATTTAATCACATTTGATTTTCAAATTGTAAAACTGAAATGCAGAGCATGAAGGTAATATAGCAGATATAGTCTCTGTCTCATAAAATAGTTGGAGTAAATAAGGTTAGTTTTAGTCACAGATAATTTGCCAAGAGTAGTGCTAATTCATATTAGTGGTGTTACCAAAGTGTTTTACCTTAAATGAGGAAATGTATAAAATCCCTAGTATCTTAGTTTTTTTCTCCTGTGGTGCTGATGAAAGAATGTCCCAGGAGATTCCTCCTAGATAATTAAATCCTGAGTGAGGAATCTGAGGAGGAGGGGAAGGGGTGTCAGGAGTGGGAGGCCATTAATTACACAATGGAAGATAAACAGGATGTTGATTCACCTGTAAAGATCTCCAAGCCTGGCTGGGGCAGTGGCTCAGGCCTGTAATCCCAGCAGTTTGGGAGGCCGAGGTGGGCAGATCACGGGGTCAAGAGATTGAGACTAGCCTGGCCAACATGATGAAACCGTCTCTACTAAAAATACAAAAATTAGCCAGGCGTGGTGGTGCGCACCTGTAGTCCCAGCTGCTCGGGAGACAGAGGCAGGAGAATTGCTTGAACCCAAGAGGCAGAGGTTCCAGTGAGCAGAGATTGAGCCACTGCGCTCCTGCCTGGCGACAAAGACGCCTCAAAGAAATCTTGAAGTCCTGACCTCAGAGTTCAGATTAATGAAAGAATATTCCTAGAGTTGGACTTAAGCATCCATGGAAGAGTTCCTGCTTGGGATTAGACTAGTGTGTAATGAGCACCTGGGCTTGCAGAGTATGGGCCTCGGGATAGGAACTGGGTGGGGAGATTTAAGGGGGAAGAGTTCCCAAGAAACCACAGAAGCTTTGGGTGCCTGAGAGTTTGGGAGAGCACCGTGCTAAAGCATCCTGACTGGTAGGGAGGGAGCTCTTGACTGGTTGTTAGGGAGCATGTGAACGCCGTGCACATAAAGGGGCTGAGTTGACTGCCCTCTGGCCCCACTTCTAAGCTTCAGGGCTGTGACTGCCTCAACGAAGTCCTCAGAGTCCAGCTTGGGACCCACCACCTGCCATGCCTCATGCTTCCAAACCTTACCCTGCTGTCCCTAGGGCCCTCTTGCTGCCAGGAAGTTCTCTTTCTAGACAGCCCGGTGTGAATTCTCACTTCCCCCGGGGACTTCCTCCAGCAGAACTGTGGCTGTGTTGTGCATTTCAGCATCTGCTTATCTGCTCTTTGGTCATTTTTCTGTTCCATGGTGTCCCTAAGGGGAGGCCAGGTGGAATACAGCTTCCCAAAGACTTTTTGCTTCGGTCTCTTGTATTGCATGGTCCCTGGCCTGTAGGCATTTTGAAAACAGTCGGGTTGGTTGTTGCCAGCTGAACCAGCCCCTGCTTTAGTGTGGTGATAATTCAGGAGTTCAGAGGAAACAGGAAATACTACTGCTTTATGGTTGGAAACCACTCAGGTTGAGGAGGATTTAAGGAGGCTTCGGTTCCTGCAGTGGAGCCGGGCCTGGAGAAAATGGCACGTGAACTTTTGCCCTTTGAACAGGGCCGTTGTCCCGGCTTCAGGGTTGCAGATGTGGTGGCATCAGATGGGTCTCTGAGGGGCGGGGCAGTCAGGGTGCCTCTGACCACAGTGCACTTGGTGTTGGCAAGACCTCGAGGGTGGGAAAGCTATGAAAGGAATTTTACAGACAGGGCTAAGTGATGGGATGTGGGCAGGAGCACTGTCTTTGAAGCTGCTTGGCAAGAGAAGTGGGGATCACCTTGAGTGGGGATGGCAGATTATGTTCTGTGTAGCCAGCACTGGTGAGAGCTGCAATGGCCTCAGTGTGAGGCCATGAGTGGGTGTCTGCGACGCTGATGGACTTTGTTTCACGCTTCAGTTGAGGATCTGGCTCTGAGCATGTTCTTGGCTCTGTCCATGAGTCATCTTCTCTTCTGGCCCTGAGCGATGGTCCCGCGGTGCTGGGGGCTCCCCACTCCCTCCCCATTTCGGCAGGTGCTGATCCTCAGCAGACCTGTGCTGGGCTCTTCAGCAGGTGCTCATTTGAAGCCTTTAGATCTTAGGCCATGAGTCAGTGCCATAAATTCCTGAGAAACGGGCTCACCTTTCGTGATAAAATGGAACATTTCTGATGGGTTCAAATCCTAGCCAGAAAGAATAAATGAAAAAAATGTTGAGCCTTTCTGGGAAGAGCTTGTTTCAGGCACCTGACCTGGACCCGTGGTCTTTGGGCATTCTCGCCTGGACGTGTGTGGGTGGCTGGGAGGAAATGTTGTCGCTGCAGATGGTTCCTCTTTCTGCCACTGCAGACTCGGCCTCCAGTTGCTGTCGTCCATCAGGGCAGTGGCTGGTCCTGGTTTAGAGCAGGAGTCAGAAAACTGGTCGACCCACCAGTTTTTGCAAGTAAAGTTTTCCAGGAGTGCAGAGATGCCCCTTTGCTTACGGATTGCACGTGGCAGTTTTCTCTATGAAAGGTCAAGTTGGAGTGAAGCCTAAAGCCTCGCCAGGGCTGGCCCGGGGTCATAGCAGAGAGCAGTGGCCATGGTGAGGGGGATACCTGCTGCCTGGTCTCTCCCCAGCCTTGTCGTTAACCGCCAGACATCTCAGGGACTCCTTTTCAGACACTCTTAGGCGCTTTGGTTCTTTTAGCGGGTGCCCCTCCATGCCCCAAATTGTCAGTCCCCAGGCATGGTCTTTAAGGTCTGGGGAAGGAG